CATTTTTATAATCTTTATTCTCTTAACGTAACTTTTATAATTTTTATTTCCTTTGGATGGTTCATATGTTGTTAGAATTTTTGAGATATGAACATTTTTATTTAGTTTATTCAGTTAAAGACTGATCTCAATATTTAAAAAATACCAAAGTCTGAATTCTATTTCAATAGCAAACTTTTTTTTCAAAATTGGGTAAACATCTCTTAAGGATGCTAGTTACATAAACAAAGTTGAAAAATGAAATGTGTCATATTTTAAAATATATGTGATGACTATTTCAGAGTTCTTTATTGATGATGATTGAAAATTCAGGATTCATTTAGTCTACTGAAGCATCTTTAAAATAACAAAAAACCAACTACTTGGATTCTTATTGGTAAACAAATAAGTACAATTTGCTTGCATGTAAGCGTCTCATTGAGCACTGAAAACGGACGCACTTGGCAAAGGGGTTGTTCTACACCAGGGCACAGCGGTCAACACAGATGCGCAGATGTGACCTCAGTAGGAAAAGGGGATTTAAGATGGAAGAGTGACTAAGCCTTCCAGAGTGATCTTCTCCTTCCGATTTTTTTTAACATGGCCATTTAAAGACCTTAGAGATCATTAAGGCTTCTGTAGGTTTAGATTATGTCTAGCCGCCCAGTGCTGACTGAGAGACAGCTTGGCATGTGAGCTCTAGGAGTACGAGGCCCCAGGAAGGGAGCCCCCATCCTGCTGACCCCCGAGAGCAAACCTACAAGCAAGAAAGTGAGTCGGCTGCAAGCTATGTTGTTACACTGCACATGGGGATGATTTCCACGGGTGTTTTTGCATATTTAATAGGAACGCTGTAAAAATATTCACAGCAGTAAATATAACATTAAAGTTACTAGTGTATATTCACATCGTACCCCAGTGTGAAATAGCTGATAGAATTTTAAAAACAAGTTTTAGAGGTCCATCCAGGTCTAAGCTGAAGAGTTTCAACATTTGAAGTCCTGTGCATACTAAACCTTTGAAATGATGATCCGTGCTCCTACAGCGTCTCCCTTTTAGATTCAAATTGTTATGCCATCATTTTAAGTAAAATTTCTGACATGTAAACATTATCAAAATTATTTCTAATTTAAAACTATTGAAGGAAGGAAAGAAAAGTTATGAAAGAAATGTTTAACAAACAAAGAACAAGGAAGGAAACTGATTTCTTCACTGTTCAGGTGGCTATTTAATGACTGTTCAGGATGTCTTTTTAGGGGATAGGAATTCAGCCCGGTGGTAGAGCACTTTCCTAGCAAGCACAAAACCTTGGGTTTGGTCCCCAGCACCAGAAAGAAAAAAAAAATCACAAAAGAACAAAACATAGCAAACAGACAAAAATGAAGGGGAACCGGAATATATTTTTATAGTTAAAACTTCCCTGAGCCATTTTCTCTTCTTATTATTGAAGAGTCTCAAAAGAAGGCACAACATCAGACACAGGCAGCAAGGCCCTGGACCTGGGATTTGGAGTGCGTCTCAGTCCCTCTTACAGTCATGCCAGACTACTGGATGAAATGGGATGTTGCCTCCCTCAATGTAAAGTAGCTACTCACCTGAGTAGAGTAATGCCTTGGGGTCACCATTTAAATTGTCATTGAAAAAGCCGGGGGTGGTGGCGCACGCCTTTAATCCCAGCACTCGGGAGGCAGAGGATGCGTACACTTACATACAAGCAGGCAACACATATACAAATAAAATAAAATTAATAAATAAAATATTTAGGTGAGCCGAAGACAGACATTCCTCCTCCTCACAGTTTGGAAACCCTTCATGGAAGGTTCATTCAATCTGATCCCGTGTGGAGGTTGGGGACTACTAATAGTGACAGGTCACATGAGATGAGGTGAAAACAAAAGTAAGATGAAGTCAGGGAAGGTGGCACCACCTTTGATCCCAGCACTAGGGAGGCAGAAGCAGGTGAGTTTCACTGAAATTCAGGCAAAGCTGGTCTACAGAGTGAATTCCAGGACACCTGGGGCTAAAGGGAGACCACGACTCAAAACAAGTGAGGTGAGGGTATCAGTGGAAAGGGATATGTTTGCCCACAACTATGCTTCATTCTGACCAAAGATAAGAAAGTACATATGAGAGAAACTAGCCAATAATACCAACTAAAGAAACTCAGTCCATGAGGCTTCAGGGCTTCAGTGCTGCCTGACTTTCCCACATATTCCAGGTGCTCTTGTGGAGTCTTATTTGGACTGATTCAAACCACCTCGTGCATTAACCCAGCAGTCAGTAATTCCAATCTGGGAGATGGTGGCCACTGCAGTTTGGGTATTTGGGCCCCATGTGGTGAAAATAAACAGTAAGATCTGCAAACACTTGGAGTTTATGTACTCCTGTACAAGTTACAGTTCTTTACTGGAAAAGTAAGATGCTAACAGAAGAGAAAACATGATGATGTTTTATGGCAAAGTGATATAAAATTTTGTAACTTTTCTGTAGGTGTAAAAGAATTCTGATATAAAAAATTTCATAAAACATAACAATCTATGGTTTTAGGTAAGATAGTAGACTAAAGGCTGCCTCTGTGAGAGCCTGTGAAGAGACTGAATAAGAAAGGTAGATGTGAAGGCTGAGATCCTAGCAGACTCCTGAGAGAGTGGGTTTGGACTTCCTCCATCAGGGTAGCTGCTCAGAGCTCAGTAGACTGCCAGAGAGTGGCCGGTTCTGGCATCCCTCTGGCCTCCAAATACCAGAGGGCCTGAGAACCCAGGGGACAGCCTTACAGGCCCCAGATCCTGCCTCCACGTGGTGGTGAGCTTCCCTTAATTGCGCCATAGCATCCCCGTACCTGGCAATTTGTGAGGCCCCTCCCAAGGCCCCCAGAGAGATCTGGCTTTGGTTGGCTAGGGCTGAGATCCTAGCAGACAGCCTGAGAGGGTAAGTTCAGACCTTCTCCATCTGGGTAGCTGCTTGGAGCTCAGCAGACCACCAGAGAGTGCTGGGTTCTGGCCTCCCTCTGGCCTCCAACTACCAGAAAGCCTGAGAACCCAGGGACATCCTGACAGCCCTCACATCCTGCCTCCACATGGTGGTGAGCTTCCCCTAATTGCACCATACCACCCCCCTACCTGGGATTTTTTGAGGCCCCTGCCAAGGCCCAGGACAGATCTGGCTTTGGTAAGCTAAGGCTGGGATCTCAGCAGACTTCCAGAGAGTGCCGAGTTCTGGCCCCCTTTTGGCTTCCCTCTGGCATAGGGTTGACAATACACAGGACTGCCTGAGAGACCCTGGATCCTGCCTCCATGTAGTGAAAGCCAGAAGAGCCTGGACCAAGGTATTTCCAGTTCTACATGACAATAGATGCCAGCCTAGAATACTATACCCAGCAAAAATGTCTATTATATTTGAGGGGGAAAGAAAAATCTTCCATGACACAAATAGCCTAAAAGAATGCATGTCCACAAAACCAGCCCTTCAAAGAATACTTGAAGCAA